ATATAGGTCTAGATCTAGAAAAGTTATGACAACTTGACAAGCACACTGGACACACACAACATCTGAACATCTGAATCCTAGGTCTAGTTTGTTTGTTTTTGAATATTTTTATTAATAAGTTCCAGGTTTTCGTCTAAATGAAATATGGTTTGGAGCCGTTTGATTATCCATGGTCACAAACAATTTTGGTCTAAAAGTTGACACGCACCAATGATGCAACTGAGCGAACGGATAGCACTTAGTCTTAGTAATACTAGTATAGCCAACAGAGTCGACATCTACTAAAGATATAAACAAGAATTAACCCTCTTGGATTATTAAAGAAATCATACTTCATAGATTATTTTAAGGTGTAACGTTAAATCTAGATTTAAATTCAATGGATGATTAGTGAATTAGATTCACGATGACGATCAAATTTGGAATAAAACCTGATCAGAAAGTTTTATCTTGATGCAGATGAGCACCGAAATTCCCCAACGTGGGCCTGCCGGAACCCCGGGGCTCTAAAGGGTGACATGAAGGCAAACCGCATTCAAACTACTTCACGACGATGAAAATCAAAGTGCAATTTCAAGAGAAATATTATCCTAGTCTTTTCCCCACAAATCTGTTGAGAACAGTCTCAAAATGTAAAGAAATTACAGTAGATCACGAATTACAGCTTTTTCAAATTAATGACTAAATTCTCTTAATCTACTGATATTTCAATCAATTACTCACCCATATGCATTCTCCGTGAACTAAATCTTCTCACTTTGTGCGAGTATAGCGCGCGTCGTGCATTCCCACCTCGATATGAATATTTAAGAGAATCGAGACTTTCCCCGACCCTGCCTAATGAATATTCATGATAAAACAGGAATCCGGCCTCGCCGTGGTACGAAAAAATAAGACGCGCCCCGGTCAACCGCAGCCTGGATACAACGCTGCGGTTCCACCCCAACCGCAGCAAATTCACCATCATCAGCAGATTGTGTATGCCAGTAACGTCGCACCGCAGCAGCCAAATACAGTGGTTTACGTGCAGGATAACAGCGCATCGAGGAGACAAAAAGATGATGACGACGCGTGTTGTATGATGGCGTTATGTGCTGTCTGTCTCTGTTGTTTATTGAGTGATTGATCGAAATTCTACTGACGGCGGACGCTGTGTGAGACTGATTGTGACGTCACAGGGATGTGGACTCTGGCATGATAATAAATTACATGAAGCTTCGAGTGGAGTTAATTTACATGGGTTTCATCTGTCTTCAGAAGTTTCGACCCCAGCGATTAATTTCTTGCCTCGATCCTTAAGCACAACGTCATGAACCTACTTTACGCCATGCGTCGTAATGGCAATGGCAAAGTAATCAATCAATATAATTACTAAAATCCCTAATTGATATCTCGCGTCAGGCAATTGAAACAATAAAATGCCATTAGACCAGTTTTTCTAATAATATTCGCACTTTATCTTGTGTATTCAAACGCGATGTGTATTGAGACGCGATGGCTCCGTGGTAGAGCAGTAGTCTCGTAACCGGGAAGTCCCTGGTTCGAAACCAATTCGATGCGCTAGTGCCCTTTGGTAAGGCATTGATCCTCATTACCAAGTCCCTCGGAGAGGACTTAAAGCCGTCGGTCCCACTTTTACTTAATTTCTTGCTTTCTTAGCAGTTAGTTAAAACAAACCTTCAATTTCTTAAGGACTAGTTTGTTCTGTATGACCCAATTAGAGCTCGCATGGGTTTGCCTAACAAAGCAACAACTTACTATTGTATACAAACCAGATAATAAGATGTTTCCCAACACGTAATAGTTTTAATCCAATGATTCGTCCCCAGAGGGGGAGTGGTGGTAGGGGTTCACTGTGGTGAGTGACCAAGTCTATATTGTTACGTCAAAGAAACATTTGTTTGGACATCGATGGATTTTTAAACATGCAAGATTAGGACGTATGGAAAGGCTTTGTTGATTTCTATAAAGAAATTGCTCCATGTATAATATGTATATTCCATCCTGTTGAAGGAGTATAAATTATAATAATATTATCATAATAATTATTGTTATGATAATAATGTATTAGTATGCGATTTTTCATTATGATTTGCATGCATCACATAAAGAATTACCTACTTCTGACCAGACAAAACATTATGATAATAATGTTGTATTTATCTTTCGTTTATAACTTGGTAAGAATCGTTGCCAATATAATTTGATTTGATAATGAGTAGCAACGTTCACAATCCGGCTAAATCATAGCTTTTTGATATAAATCCTTAAAAGTCAATATGTACCTGTATAATTAATTTTTTTAGTGTAAACATTTGGTATAGGCCTATAACAATTAATTTAACTGTTCACATCATAGATCTGACGAATGCTATCAAAATATTTTGATTGTATAAATCATAAAGTAATAGAAGAATACATTATCAAGATATGAATAGTAATGGTTGTACATAAAAAGCAATTAGGGAAAAACGTTTATCTACTACATTCTATGGTAATATTTTGTGATAAAGAGTGTATATAATTCATGTCAATCCAATTAATGTACATGATGTATTTTGATTTGTGTTGTACTGACATGATAATGACATTAATAATTGAGGAACACTCGTACAAGATCTGTCTGTGTTGAGTCCTAATGGTATAAAGGGAGGCAGAGACAGACAGAGAGAGAGACACACACACAGACACAGAGAGAGAGAGAGAGAGAGACACACACACACACACACACACACACAGACAGACAGAGAGAGAACGAGACAGACAGAGAGAGACAGACAGAGATAGACAGACAGAGAGATAGGTGACAGACAGAGAGACAGAGAGAGAGAGAGAGAGAGGCAGATAGAGACAGAAATGGAGGGAGAGACAGAAAGAGAGAAAGCGAGAGAGAGAGAGAGAGAGAGTGAGTAGACGGGTAAGATAAAAGAATGAGTGGAAGGGGGAGGGAGATAGAAAGGTAGATGTAAGATAAGTAAGAGAAGTAAGAGAGAGAGAGAGAGGGGTGGGAAGGAGAGAGAGAGAGAGAGAGAGAGAGAGAGACAACACACACACATACACACACACACACGCACGCACGCACGCACACAAAACAAACACACACAGAGGAAGAGAGAGAGAGAGAGAGAGAGAGAGAAAGAGGCGCCGGAGGTGGGGGAGGGGGCACGATTTGGACACAGCTTCTTAACAAGTTAATACATGTAAAATGTAAAAATGTACAACATGTAAATTATATATCTGTAACGCTTAGACATATCGTTGTATCGATGTATTAGGCGCTATATAAAAGCGGAATATTATTATTATAATTAGAATAAAAAGAATAACAATTTAGCCCAAATATTGGTTCATTGGTTTCTAAATAATTTATGGTCTAATGGCTTTTCATACCGTGTTAAAATAGATTTAAACAAAAATCATCTACATGTATTTTGGTGCAATGACAGATGAAATTTATATAAATGAAGCGAATACTAATTGAAAAAAAATACATATATTGGCAAGTTTCAATTATGGAGCACATGTGGAGGTCGATATAGCCCAGTTCTGGACCCTTTACATGATTTTTTTATTCACCGACTATAAGCGTTGAGCCGAGTGATAGCGCGATCCTTAGTGAATCGTGAATAACAAAATCATTAAAAGGGTCCAAAACTAGACTAAGGTCGATAGAGCACATCTCCAAGGCGATGTAAGTATACTGATGAACATGAGTCAGAAATGAATACACGTATATCAAACACTCTTGTCTTCCTCACTCTATACTCTGATTATTTCTATATCATGCTTTCATAAAGTGGTTTCTTACATAGTTTCTCTAACAAGAAATAATTTTACAAATTGTCACTACCATGTCAACAGTGTTGTGAACGACACTTTTCCGTATTCTTCATACTAATAGTGTGGTACGGTATGTCACTGAAACAGCTCCCGTGGGATTTTTTAGCCAAAGTTGAATTTTTTTTTTTTTGGTGCTTTTTTTTTTATTTATTGGGGTCCCAGCTGTCAGAATTTGATGGGGTTCAAATTTTCCCGAAGACACCAAATTTCCTTATTGCGCGTTATATATATATATGCCATTTTGGCGCCCAATATGGACCCCATACAGGAAATTAAGGAGGGGTCTGAAAATTTGAACCCCATCATTTTGGGCCAATTGGGACCCTTTCATAGCCAAAACAGCAACAACAACAAAAATCAACTTTGGCTAAAAAAATCCTGCGGACATACCATACCGCACTATAAGCGATTACGTAATAATAACCCTGGTATCCTCGATCCCGGGGTGTATAATGAATGGTCGCTAAAGCGGGACATTAACAATACTGTCACGTCACAGTAATTCGATGTACTTCCTCGTATACCCCCACACACCATATATGGGTCACATTTCAGGGGAATAAGATATTTCACCCCATTTTTAGGGCAGTATTCGCAAGCACCCTTTTATTTTTGATAATTATTCTATTTTACGCAATTAAATCTCGAAACATTAATGTTTTTTTTTATAAAATAGGAGTGTCGTGTTTAAAGGCAGTATATATATATATATATATATATATATATATATATATATATACATAGGGAGATCCATGAGAATTGTATGTACCTAACTATTTTACTCCACTGCCCATACCTTAATCCGCCATTTTACTTCGATTTTTAAAAATAGATTTACGATCAAGAACTTTCTCTGTCGTCTCATTTATTCCACATCTTCAATTATTCCATCAATCGAGGCCACTTCTAAATCTTCATCTTGAATGGAAAAATACACTCTTCTGCACTAACACAGTTTTCCTATAAATTTGTAGTATTATCTATGTTCAGATAAATGATAAGGTTTAGCACACATCATAATTCTCCATAACAATGCTTGGATCAAACCCATTACTCTCCCGTTACTCACAAAGGCATGCCCAATTGACCAGAATTACCATCTAGACCTTTCTTTAAATCTATAGTCCGGGTTACTTCAATGTCATATCGCCTCAATACCCTCATACCGCCGTACCCCCCTCCCCCACCAAAATAAGATAAATTTCCTCGTTTCGCCCTATTTCATCGTTGCTATTGTCTTCTAGACAATACACCTATAAGGAAGAGCATGTCGCAGTGGATCTTCTGGCATCGCTGGCCTCTATCCAAAACTAGTATTTCCTCTTGACACCATACTCCAATCACAACGTATTAAGATGCTCCAGATAAGGATACAGGATTCATAACTTCTTCTTAAAGCTCACAAAATGGTGGACATATCATCTTCAGTTTCAAGCACCTTCACCTGTATGAGAGCCACCATGACATTCATATCGGTAGCAGTGGTCATTATTTTTCATTTAGCAGTAAATTCTGACGCTTTACCAATGAGAGATGCACAGGACGCAAAGGTAAATTGCTGAACTTTCTCCTCACCCACCCCCCCTCTCTCTCTCTCTCTCTCTCTCTCTCTTTCGGGGAGAGGGGGAGGGGGGGGGTTCTTTATTTAAATCAAAATACATGTATATACCATTTAAATTTAATTTTTCTTCACCACGTCTTTCATGATTTTGATTACTTGTATTCTCCATCATGTTCCCAAATAACCATGAGACGGCTGATTGACATATAAACGCCAAGTATTTAAATTGATACTGTTTGAAAATGGCAGTGACTTTTTACGGGGGCATAAGCCAGAGCTAGATTTAAACAAAATAATTTAAGAGGGGGCGAGAGATAGAGAGAGAGGAAGAGAGAGAGAGAGAGAGAGAAAGAAAGAGAGATAGACAGAGAGAAAGAGAGAAAGAGAGGAGGGGGGGGGGGACATTAGCACAAAGTTGTGGGTAGAATTTGTAAAAAGGCTTACGAAATGAGCCTTATACATTTTGGTCAAAATAACACAAAATCCCAGAACATCGGCACAAAAAAAAGCTCACTCACCTTTTACAAGAAATCCACAATCCTTTTTTTTTTCTCTCTCCAACTAGGCTCTAAGTAAAATCAAGGCAATGGTCAAGAGGAGTTAAAGCAATAGCTTTGTTGAAACGGATTGAATTGTAATTTGGATGTTGCATCTAAAGATTATATTCGTATGCTATTAACAATAATCAGCATATAGGATTTGACAAGTAATTTTTGACACAGGAAACCATATTAACCTCACCAATGCTGAGCATGTATACGTGTATATATCAGGACGTACTTATACGAGGTATAACTGCTTTTACAAATATCAATGTCTTTGAACATTGGCACATATTTATAATCCCTGTATGGCATATTGAACCCCATGTTGTATTTTTCAATTGTTTTAGATGTATTTGATGAACTATGGCTACCTCAAACAAAGCGATATGGCTAATGGACAGCTAACGACAGAGGGCGATGTTGTGAAAGCTCTAAAACAATTTCAATACATGGCAAATATCGATGAAACAGGTTAGATATCTCATTTATACTTCCAATTGGTTTATATGTTTTCTTTTGATGTGTTTGCATGAGTATTGTTCTGTTAGACTACAATATCGGTTTTATAGGGAGACTGGGGGTCAAGCCCCCCCCCCCCATTTCCCCTCTAATTTCGAAGTAATTCAAGCGAGACACAGGTACATGTAGAAAATGGATGCACGAAATCTGAAGCCCCCTCCCCGAAGCCTCAACAATTATTCTTGTAGAGCCTCGCTTGCCAATTAAGGCGAAATTCATTTCGACTTTAATAAAATACAGGGTTCTACAATCTCTAAGACAATATTTATCAGATATGTGAGCTAAAATTAGATTTAGGGCACTGAAAATTACTTTATACCTGACGTGCTGACAGATGGAATCATGAATCGACTTTGCCACTTACTCAACTGCCACCGGGGACATTATATGCGTAGTCTACAATTGTTGTGTGTCAAATTTGCATTGAAGTTATACAGTTCCCTGTTTAGAAGAAAAATCATACCCGGCATTCGCTTGGGTAATATTAATTGCAGGGCCATTATGAAGAACAGCACTGAAGCTGATGAGGCTTGATATTATTATTATTATAATCATTATATTACTTGTAGGCTTTGTTGATACTGTGGTCAGAGGCTTTATTCGATTGACCAAAATGGAAATCTGGGTGAAGGATGATCGATTATTATGTAATAGGGAAGAAGTATATGGTCTTATATGTTCACAACAAACCCGGAAGTTTTAAGGCTTTGTTCAGTATCAATGATGCTTCTTTCTATGCCATCACCGAGAGCCTTAAATGCCATGTTTGGGGTTCACAGTTGAACGAACCCACGTTGAAGTTGAGAGTTACACCGCATACAAGGAAGTAATGATAAGGTTCAAATGGATCAAATGTCAATGCATTTATCGTGTGTTGATGACAGAATCTTCTATCAGATCTTAATAATATCAGTTTCCATGACTTGTATGGTTTCATCAATAACCAGGGATGGGAGGGGGATTTCTTGTCATAACCGAGGGACGCAATATTCAAGGAAGGGTTTGCCCCCGAACAGGAAAATTTTGAATCTAGAGTATGACATTTTGCACTATGGCGACACGTCATGACGTCCTTAACAGTATTTCATATTTTTCACGCATTTCTTTTCTCGTAATGGCTTAGGCGATAGTGCACAATTAATTTTAGGCAATTTGTTGATCTTTATGAATCTGGGAGGGGTTACGACACTCTTCCACATATTTTTGTACTTAATACTTAATTGTGCCGAACTTTGGTTTTAACAACACTGATTGTATTATCTATTGTAAATACATAATGGAAAATGGGCCTTATAGTAACGATACCTACGGTTTATAGAGTTTCTTAAACACTAAACATTATATTATGCGAATGAGCATATAGTCGTTGAGCTACTTTTTAAAAGGAAAAACGTTGCCTTGCCTTTCAGAGTACTTCAGAGACTAAACGGTGTGATGCAGCCCAATAATTATTTGATATATCTATTTTTTTCCGGGGGAAACGTGCCCCTATTTTGTGTAGCTTTTTGGGGAATTTTCAGAATAATTTACCCCTCCCCTTTTGCGCGGTCCATGGTGCCGTCCTTGGTTAACATAACCATTCTCCCTGTTTCATAATTCAGGGACACTTGACAACGATACGATGCGAATGATGAAAATGCCGCGATGCGGGATGCCAGACATGGTCGGGACTGGTTCGCACGATGTTCGCAAGAAGAGGTTCACCCTCTCTCAACTCAAGTGGCCCTATACCGACCTCACCTACCGACTCGATGGGACGACGCCAGACCTCCCTGCAGCACTCGTCAACCAGATCATGGCTCTAGCCCTCAAGGTCAGTCACACATGATGATGTCGAAGATGATCTTCAGAAAGAAAATGACAATATTTTCATTGCCATATGATCAATTACGCTTGAAACATTCTCGATATTTGGGGGCTGGACTTCCCGCCCTACCCCCCCCCCTCTCGCTCTCTCTCTCTCTCTCTCTCTCTCTCTCTCTCTCTTTCTCTCTCTCTCTCTCTCCCTCCCTCCCTCCCCCTCTCTCTCGGCCCACATTTCACTGGGTCTCACTTTCAAAGTTCGTCTCTCCACTATTTTAATTCTTTAGACATGTATTTACCTTTGCTTGAAGTTTTTGTAAAACATCTAATGAGTTCTTTTCCAATTCTTTCACTAAATCTTATACACTCTGTTATTTTGCATGACACTTGTTTTAAATACAGTGTATTGATCACTCCGGTATGAACAAATCAACTATTATCAGAAATAATGCGACAACGTTTTCAATTCTCGATATTCAATATCTAGGCTTGGTCAGATGTTTCGTCGTTGACCTTCGCTCAGGTCGCAGCCGATCAACCAGCCGACATCCTCATCGATTTCTTCGAAGCCGATCACGGTGACGGCAACCCTTTCGATGGACCCGGTGCCGTGCTCGCTCATGCCTACTTCCCTAACCCCAACCCCATCGCTGGCGATGCTCATTTCGATGACGCTGAGACGTATACTGACGGAATACCACAAGGTGATGCTCGTTCCTACATGCACAGGGGTGCTGTGACCTTTTTTTTCAGAAGACCCCACCCCGCCCCATCCCCCAACAAAAAGGGAAATAACTGAAAATTGATATATTTTTGTAATTCATGATCATAAGGGCCTTCACGATTACAGAGACTTACAAGAAATAGACACAGGTACAATTTTCAATAGCCAATTGCAGTGCCCCTATACCATATTCGGGTTACATGGTTCGGAAAACATCCTTGTAATTTCCGCATAGTCGTACATGACTGTATTTCAAAATGTTACGGATAAACCTATTAAAATGCCAATCGAAAATAAAAAATTAGATTGAATGAATCTCTGCGATCTGGTTTCCCATGGTCTAGGGGTCTGGGGGTCTGGGGGTCTGGTAGAGGGGTTAAATGCAGGTTGAACAACGGCTAAGAAACGTTAGTCGTCAGTTAGAAGTGTCAGATAGAAGTGTGGTAATCGAGTGGTTTAAGCACTTGACTTGCAAATTCGAAGGTCGTGGTTCGATCCCCGACACGGCACTAATGTCCTATGGCAAGGCATAAATCTTCATTTGCCACACTAGACCCAGGTGAGGTAAATGGGTACCTGGCAGGAATTTATTCCTTGAAATGCTGGAGCGCTGTGATGGCAGCTAGGCTAAAGCCGGGGTAATAATACATGCCCCTCGGAATTATAGACGGCGCTATAGAAATGCCTATTATCATTATTATTATTATATTAATACAGCAAATTGTTGTTCGCAATTTGCGATGATGTCTTGCATTTTGCTCAATCGTGGATTTAGAATTGTAGTCTGGAATTTTTCGTTGGTGAATTTTTTCTTCTCCATAACCCCATCCTTCCATTTTGAAGTTGTAGCACAACACTATTGTCAGTATCAAAATTGTATTTGTTCATTTATCAACTTGTAAGTAACTCTGTACCCTATATTGATAAAAACATTGAAGCCAGGGCTTCTTGTACTCCCCTTATTGATTAATATAAATTGATTAAGATGTTTATTTCTGTGTAATTTTCCTGTCCCTTCTATATAGGTATCAACCTCTTCCAGGTAGCGGCCCATGAGTTCGGCCATAGTCTGGGGTTGGGTCACTCCACCATTGATGCGGCTCTGATGGCCCCCTTCTACCAGGGCTATGTACCCGATTTTGAGCTCCACCCTGATGATGTGGCTGGTATCCAGGCCCACTATGGTAAGAGATGGATTTATCGGTTGACAAATCGCTTGCTCCTGTGACAATGCTCCTCGGTAATTTCCTACAGTAACCAAATTTGTATACTTCAATCCTGGACCGAATACTACACCTGACATAATACTAAACTTAAACCTAACCTAATCTAAAACCCAATTTCAACCCCAACCCTTACCCTATACTTTGAATAAGTAAAGCCTGGAGCAGGATGTGTCGCAGGAGTAAATGTCGAATCACCGATTTATCGGGTCATTGTTACTTTGGACATATAGTACACAGAGGGTTAATGCTAATGGCCGATTCATGATTCTTAGACTTGACAGAGGTCTGATAAACAATAGATAACACCAATTAAAAAGAAGACTAAACAAACAGAATATCCGACGAGTAAAAGAGTGGACACGAATTCCACAACTACGAAATAAATACTGCGTAGATTATGTGATGAATTAATTTCTATCTATACATTTTCTTTCTTTCTTTCTTTTTTTTAGCACCACAATCGTCCGTGAGGAGTGAATGAAAGATACCCTTGTATACACACTGTTACTAAACTCATAGCATAAAAATTATAACATGCCATAAAAAAGGACACACCCGAACAATCCTTTTCCTATTTCTATTTGTTTTTGTTTTTCAGGGCAAAATACGAATCAAGCTGGTGGCGGCGATGATGGTGATGCAGCTCCTCCCACCCCACCAGCGTCTGGGGACTGCATCTCTCAATTCACCGCAACAACACAGACGGCTGACGGTGGATTCTATTTCATCAATGGTAATAATGGTGATGTTGTTGGAGGTGATGGTGATGGTGGTCATAGTGATGACAGGGAGGTTGACAGTATAGTGGTGGTGGTTGTGGTGGTGATGGTGATAGTGGTAGTGGTGGTTGTAGCGGTGGTGGTGGTGTTGGCTGTGTTGATATACGTGATGGTGTTCGTGGTGGTTCTGATGATGATAATGATGATGATGGTAGTGTGTGATGTGATGTGAGCGCGATGGTTGCAACAAGTGGGGTAGTCATTGCGGCAGAATGCTGGGGGTAATGATTATGATGAGGGTGAGGGCGATTATAATGATGGTAATGGTAGGTCTAATGGTGGTGGTGGTGTGACGATGACGGTGCTGATATTCAGTGATTTAGGGAAGTATTGCGTCATAAAAAATGTATTTTATTGCAAGGTCTTTTCGGGGGGGGGGGGGTACTCAGATTTGATTTGACGGGGGTGTGCCGCTGAAGCCTCGAAACCCTACCTATTTTTAAGGGTCATTTTGGCGGATTTTTTCTTCTTCGAAGTACAGCCCATTTTTCAAACATTTCGGGTTTTTGCCATGCAAACTGCGGACCCATATTTAAGGGTATTTTTTGTTAAAAATGGGACCCATGTTTAAGGATTTTTTGTGAAAAAGTTACTCATTAGAGCGGCACGCCCCTGTATGTCTTGAGATGTGAGTACACCCTACCACGGGGGTCGTTTCTATTTAATTGTAATATACGACACTGGATGTTAACCAACTTTTAAATCTTATATGAAAAGGCATGTATGAATACAGTTGAAGAACAATAATGTCTTTGCCTAGTTTACCAGCAGTATCGCTTTAAAACGTAAAAGAAGGCCGAAGATATAACAATTAAAATGTAACAACCATCCAATGATCTGTAAAATTTAAGACTATTTTATCTGGTTGTAACCACTTATATAGATACCCATGCATTCCGCATCGGGCCAAACGGACTGGAAGCCGGCTATCCGAAGACTATTGCAACCGAATTTCCCGGATTGCCCAACAACATCGATGCAGGACTTTTCTTTCAAGACAACGGCAAGACTTATTTCTTTAAGGTGTTTTATCCTTCTATTCAATATCTATCTTTTATACTCATAATATTTGTATGTAGTTTTTGTTTGTTTCATTTGTTCTCTGTTGTTTCATTTCTTTCTCTCTCTCTCTCTCTCTCTTTATATATATCATTCACTATTGCCTTTTGTTGTAGCATGGTGATTTCTATTAGCCCCCTCCCCTCCCCTTTCTCTCTCTCTTTCTCTCTCTCTCTTTCTCTCTCTTTCTCTCCCTCTTTTTCTCTTTCTCGCTAAAATAATGTGGTATTTATTTTATACCTCTCTTTAGAAATCTATCCATCTGACTGGTCGAAACTGGAGTCGTGATTTTAGCCATGCCCGCCTACCAGTCAATTTTTAAAAAAAAAAAGATGCCCGTATGCCCGCCTACAGGCCAATAGTTTTTTTTTTTTTTTTTAAAGATGCCCGCATTGCCTCGGTTAACGGGACGCATAAATAAATTTGCCGAGATCCCCTCAGGTTTAAGTGTAAAACGTTTCTTTGTGGGAGCGCGGATCAATACAGTGTGTATGCAATTTGGTCGCTTATAGTGTGTGCGATTCTCGAGGGATCGTAATATTCAGGCATATTTCCAGCGCAGGTTAACAGACAGTGTCTCAGATTTTCTGCGATGTTTAAACCAATCTTTACTCAAGGAAAGAATAAGGCAAGAATTATTTGTAGATTTGTTTGTGGATTCGGTATACAGGTATAAAAGATATATGGACTGCTTTAATATTCGAGGCATGTTTCTATACTGGCTCTTGAAACACTGTCGCGCCTCGGGGTCATGGCAGGATGCAACTCCCCTTGAGCCTATAGAAACAGCCATGCCTCTCATAGCAGTCAATATATCTATACTATTGCCTGTCGTAGGGTTGTGACTACTATCAGTTTTCTAGGCGGACGATGTATGACAGGTATTCTCAGACAGCATTTCCTGGTTTACCTGATGATCTGGACTCGGTTTTCACCCCCCCCCCCTCTCTCTCTCTCTCTCTCTTTTGCTCGCTTCCGTTTCTGTATAAAATGATATATCAATGACTATTTCCTTCCCTAGGGTGGTGACTACTATCAGTTCTCTAGTCAAACGATGGATGATGGGTATCCTCAGGCCATAGCCACAGCGTTTCCTGGTTTACCTGATGACCTGGACTCGGCGTTCGTTTGGACCGGTAACGGAAGGGTTTACTTCACAAAAGGTATTTTCGCCGATCAACTTTATAAACCCAATGGAATAGATAGTGGCATAGATACAGGGGAGAATGGGAGGGGAAGGAAGGGGGGGGGGGGTTGGCACCTATGATTTATTTTAAAAGCAAATATCCATTTATGAGATGGAATACCCTTATTGAAATTTACTAGTGTCCTAGTCCTTTGTTCAAATAATTATCTTCATTCTGTTATGATTCATTCATCCGTTCATTCATATTACATCCCTAGGTGACCAGTATTATCGCTTCTCAGCCGGGGTGGGCGTAGACGATGGGTATCCGCGACCCCTCTCGCTCTGGACCAACTTACCGCCGACGCTCGACGCTGCTATGCAACATGCTAACGGCTTTACATATTTCTTCTCTGGTGACTTCTATTACCGCTTCAACGATGACGAGTTCAAAGTTGACGCCGGTTACCCCCGCGACACGTCGGTCGGTTGGCTTGGATGCGCTGCGGCTATCGGCAGCGGTAACGTCACGGTGTCGCCACCGGGAGGCGGTAGCACAGCTTTGACATCAGCGGGACTTCCGTCATTACTTTTAGTTATATTGATAATCTGCTCATTGTATCTTGCAGATCTATGTGTGTTGGTTAATTTGTAATATTTGAATATGTATATGCATTACACTAGATCTTTTCACCACTGTAATTTGGTAATGTAACAATAATAAAATTATATAATCTTTGAGACTCCACAACTTAGTCTATGATAAAATCCATCGCACTATAGGCTCCCAAAGAGTCTCAGACACTGATTTGCCAAATGTTCTTTTAATTAGAAAATGTAATAAGAGTTCGTTCCACATAATTTAAGTTCTGAGAGAATTTTTTGGTATTGTTGGGTTTTTTTTTTTTTTTTTTTTTTTTTTTTTTTGGGGGGGGGGGGGGTGTATTAATGATCTCTTTAACTGAAATCTCAATATGTTTCGTGAGGGAGAAACAACTTTCACTCTCATGTCTGCAGTAAATCCATGTCAATTTTTAATTTGTACTTTTTAAAATCTATAAAGGTAGAATCTTGTGTTTGAAATATGTGCGTATTTTAAAAAAAACCGAGAAGACCATTATTTATTGTTAAAAACACATTTAACTTTAAAATTGTATTGTTTAATAACGCGTTCTATTTGCATGAATAACAGGAGATGAAATCTATTTAAGAATTTTGTACAAAACTAAACAATTAAATAAAAGACACTCAAAGATGTAAGTTATCCTTGACACGCTGGCATGTTAAGGATTTTTTAAACAATCTCTGTCTATCGAATATAAACCCATACTTATGCTTGTTAAACAGCTGTGTACAAGAACGTTGAGAAATATTTAGATACTATATATATTTTCTTCTATGTAAATAATGTTTCCATATATTTTTCCATGTAACCGTTAAAGGAACGTTATGTCTGATTACAAACGTTTGAGAGCCATTTTTGAGTACTATAAGGCTTGGAATAAAAACAAAGATAACCTTTCGTGTTACAGCAAAAAAAAGTTGTCAGGATTCAAAGGATATAGTTAATCCAAATAATAACAGAATATAATAGGATGGTCAAAGGGAAACTGACTAACTTGAGAGTTTTTGACAGTCTTTTTTTGGCTGTACATAGGAACATTCTTTTTGGATTTAAAAACCTCTCTTTGCCCTTCAATCTGGCGCCTCATACGGTTTGCTTCTCCACAAAATGACAAATAGTTTCCGAGTATCTTGCACGCATTTATGTGAAGATATCTCGTATGGGTTCGGCACTAAGAGGCGGGGTGTAGCAAATTCCCTGAAGCAGGCGATTTTGTTGGAATTGTTTATTTTTTTATATTATATATATATATATATATAAGTTATTGTTAGCATTATTATCATTTTTTTTTTGAGGGGGGCTTGGGTTCCTGCAATCATTTTCTACCTGCACCTTACTCACATCCATTTATGATAACAACTGTTTAAGAGGGGGCTAGAGCCCCATCCCGCCCCTATTACTGGTACTTCGTATATTAAAGTAGAAACGAATATAATTAATGGATTATTATTGCAGTTGCATTTAAAAGGATTAAAATGATTTGCATCATTCATGGTACAAATAAATGTGATCAAGATTACTACTGTCTTGTTAATGTAGAGATTTAGTATTCGCCGATAAATCATATAGACAGGGCCATCGCCAGACAATTCTGAATGGGGGCGGGGGGGGGGGGGGAGGGGTGTCAGAACGATTTGCCGGCAAGTTAGCTGAAAAGTTTTAAAGAAACTATTTTCGAGAAAAAAATAAACTTAAAGGTACTATGTCCCATTTGCAGGTCCACAAAAATGAAAAGGTTTAATTCCAACGGCATTTGAAAAATATTACTTATTTAGGACTTCCCTCAAAACAAAACGAAAGGGTTTGAATATGGCGAAGAGAGAGAGAGAGAGAGAGAGGGGGGGGGGAGGCAGTTGGGGTGGGAACAGAGGGGAGAGAGATAGAGTGAGAGGGGATGGGAGGAAGGGAGGAAGGGAGAGATTGAGAGAGAGAGATTGAGAGAGAGAGAGAGAGAGAGAGAGAGAGAGAGACGGAAACATAGAGAGAGAAAGAGAGAGAGAGAGAGAGAGAGAGTTTGTTAATAGCGGGAGACAGTTTGGGTGGAGAGAGAGAGGGGAAAGAAATAGAGGGATGAAGAGAGAGGGGTGAGGCAGAAAGGGACAGAGAGAGAGAGAGAGAGAGAGTAGGAGGAAAGAGAGAGAGAGAGAGAGAGAGAGAGAGAAAGAAAGAGAGAGAGAGAGAGAGAGAGAGGGGGGGGGGGGGGGGTCAATGATAGCGCATGTACTGATAGAAGTGGAATAGTACATGTAGTAAAACCAGGGAGGTAATTAAATATGGACGAATGCAGAGGTAGAAGAGGTAGGATATCACCGATGACAGAAGCCGGGATAAAGGTAACTATATACACTGTTGGTCATAAAGCTGGAATAATTTTTGTTAACCCAATTTATGGAATGATTTTGACAATAATTTATTCCTTAATATAGCTCTAGATAAGAGTATACATTCTCAGATTTTATTAAATAATAATTTGCGAGTGTTACTTTTGCGTGACTGCTAAAGCATGCTTATCAACTAGAGGACCTACGCCCTTAAGTCATAACTGACAGTAATGAGGATTAACGCCTCACAAACGGGCACTAATATAGCACATCGACACGGTTTTGATCCTGGGGCCTTACGAGGCCTTTGCTTTACCACTGAATCATGACTGTACGCAGCGGGGGCTAGGGAAGGGGGCAGCCCCCACAAATAAAAAAAAAAGAAAAAGAAAAATGCAATAAATTGCTAACAATGCATTGCATTTTCACCCGTTCCCCGACTTAAAGTTCATTTTTTTTAAATTACAATTTTAAGGAGAAGGAAGAACAGTACTGATTGGGCTCTAAGCACAATCTCATCATGAAAGTCTGAAAAAACCTTTGATAAGTCACATAAAAACATACATCAATTGTAAGTGCGAGCAAGCTTTGGGGAAATTCAAGAAAAAGTTGCTCCTAGACGCTGTAAGTTAGGGTCTCATAATATGGAAAAGGGAAAAGGAGCACAGAGGGAAGAATTAAACCTATAAAGTATGTTAGAAAAGAAAAGGAGCATGTATCAAAATAAAAAAGGCAATTATCAGGGGTGAAAAATGTGCACTTCTCGCACCTGAAAACGGGCACTTATGAAAATGGAAAAGGGGCACCTGTTAGATAACAGGGGCATTCATCCGAGGTAGAAAAGGGGAATTCATAAGAAGAGGAAGGCTCTCTTATTAAAAGGAAAAGAGGCACTTATGACAGGTGAAAAGTAGCACTTATTACAAAGAAAAGGATCTCTTGTCAAAATAAAAGGGGCAAATCTTAGATTTGAAAAGGGGGAATTAATAGAGGTATGAAAAAGGGCTCTAATAAAACAAAAGAAAAGGGGCATTTATCAGGAGGTAAAGGAACAATTATTACAAAGGAAAAAGGGGAATGTATCAAAATAAAAGGGGGCACTTATGAGAGGTGAAAAGGGGGCACTTATCAGTGAAAAGGGTCACTAATCATAGATGAAAAGGGGCACTTATCAGAAGGGAAAGGGGAACTTATTACAATAGAATAGGGACACTTTTCAAAGTAAAAGGGTCACCTATCAGATTTGAATAGGGGCACTTATCATCACTTTTATCAGAGTTGGTAAGGGGCACTTAAACGATTGTGAAACGGGCACCTAAAAGAAATAAAAGGGACCCCTATCTGAAGTAAAAGAGGTACTTTTAGTATGTAAAAAGGGGCACTCTTGGGGTACTTGGAAATGTGTGGGCACTGCGCCCCCTGCCCCTAACCCCCGGAAACGTCGCCTCTGCATCAAATGAAAAATATCCGATGGGTACCCATCTCAAGAACAAAACTGATTTACAGGTCATGAAATGAAATACTCACAATTGTAATTTACAAGTAATTCTATTGTATTAATCTTAATAGTGTCTGTAGCATATACATCTTGTCCTCTGCTACTGGTTTAAATCTTTTTTATTCCCTAATTCATTTAAATAATTGCAGTATTCCTAAAATTACCTTTTTTTAAATGAGGTGGAATTGCGACTAAAGCTTTGTCTTGGTTACTCTTCTCGCCGATAGTATTGTTATCATGAGATTTCTATTTCAATTAGATTTCAATTTATTTATGTTTCCAACGAAACATTACAAATCAATTTTAAACATTTGTAACAATTCAAGAATACATGTTGAAAACAGAGGGGTCTAGCTAGTAAGCTTTTTCGTGAAACGGGTTAGGAAGATCAGAGACTTTTCTGTGATATAAAGTGATGATTGTCTTGACGTTGGTTTTGAGAAACGGGCCCCAATATATTAGCGTTTAATGTCACATATAGATTAGTAAAATCCCCCGAAAGTTTCAGATTTGAAGCCTACATCACATTTCCAGAGAAGAGTTATTTCCTTGATATGCAATATTTTTCATGGAAAGCAGTTTCCTGTAGATTCAACTTTCAAGTAGTAGTTTTAATCAGTAGTACTTTCATGTAAAGTTACGTTATGAAAAAGATCGCAAGCAAGTTATTTCCTTGATATGCAATATTTTTCATCATGTAAGGTTAAGTTTCAGGTTTCAAGTTACAACCCATATAAGGCCATCAATTCGTGAATTCCAATGTATTTATCCGATAAGCAGGCGCGTACGCAGGGGGAGGGGGGGGGGGTTAACCCCCCTTGAGTTTTGTATGTGTATGTTTTGTGCATGTTTTTTGTGAACCCCCCCCCTCTTTCTTTAAAAAAAATTTAATAAAAAATTATGCCAATGGCTGACCTAAAAAGGTGACCTAACCCCCCCCCCCAACGGAACATAATGTCAAATATTCAAATTTCGAGACAAAAAAAAAAAAAAGTGTCCTCTTACCTCTTAGCTAGCGCTATCATCACGGCCATGATTGCCCTCAATAGCTGTCTCAACCCGTTTGTCTACGCCTGGAAACACCAGGTTTTCAGCCATGTTTTCAAATGCATTCTCAAGCGGAGGTTATCTGATATCAAGGAACCTACCCAGTTTGCTCGGTATCTCCTCGAACTGCGTCCCAGAGCAATGTAACCCGAGTCATTGTTTGACGTGAGCATTCACGCCTGAACATTAATTGTCGTAATGGAGGTCTCACACTCTGCCGTGTAGGCCTACCGTCCACCTGCCGGGCTATTAAAAAACCAACAGAGTCCAGAACGTTGGGTTTTCAGCGAACTTGTCCCCGGCCGCAAAAAAAAATTCATAAAATTAATCTTTTCACCGTTTCGTTGCCATCTTCTGACCGTTCTCACCGGTCGCATACCGGGTGTTGAACGTGCTTCTACCGTCTTCACCGCCCAGATTGACTTTTGTTGAAAGTTTTGGCCGTTTCCATACCGGGTCTCGAACGTGTGCACCGGGTTTGTAGCAGCCACCTACCAGTCACTTAGCGTCCCCTCAGCGCTCCGAGCGTCCTGTGAGCGAGTCCCCGGACTGCTGACGTTCATGACACGTTCACAACCCGCTTACAACCCGTTGCAGACGGTGGATTTTTTTTTTGCCCGTTCATCACCGTTCTGTAACGGGTTATGAGCGTGTTGTGAACGTGTTCATACAGTGTAACCGTTTTCATAACGTATTCATACCGTCCTCATACCGTTCAACACCGTCCTATTGCGGGTCCTATTGCCGCTTAATTGCGGCCGGTGCCAGCCGGCCAAAGTTTTGAACATGCCCAAAACTTTCGCCGGGTCCCACCGGGTGTAAATAAGCGCCAACGCCCTATTAACGTGTTGCCCGCTTTGATAACGAACCACCGTGTGCCCTCGCCGTTCTCCACCGTCCGCAGACATTTTCGCGCACGGTGGCACACGGTAGGCCTACACGGCAGAGTGTGAGAGTCACTTAATACCTCGTTTGGTTGCAACAACAACTCTTCAATCTCAGTGAACTCTCATCCGTTCTCAATTCTATTTCTCAATTCAATTCAATTCAATTCAATTTTATTTCGCAATATAAAAATCAAAATATACAAAGTAACAGTAAATTTTAACTATGTTTACAAAGGTTATATGCGGGGCTTTCCATGAAGGTTGTGAAAACCTGTGAAGTTGGATCGCCCATTAAAGAATGAAAAACAATACAAAAAGAAATATAACATATTATAAGCACACAACAATAAATTAAGTAAAATAAGCAAAGTACAAACACTTCAACTACCTATAAGACGAGAGAAAGTAAAATAGGGAGAAGAAAAACAATATATAAAGGGGGAAAAGAAAGGAAAGGAAAACAAGATAACAATGAAAGAGGGTTCAGATATAAATAGAAAAAAGGAAAAAAAATCAACAACTGTGCTGATCAATAATTATTTCTCCCTGCCTCTTGATTGTAAACAGACAAACTGAAGTGTCATCCATTAATAGGGCATGAAGTCCAAACTATTTTCTTCCCTCGGATCAAAAGACAAAAGTTTGACAAAATGCTCTTCCTATAGCCTTTTAAAAGTCTCTCCATCAATACACCAACCCACATGCCATCGAGAAATTTTTAAATTGTTGTTCTCAGTTTTTAGTTATCGTAACGGCAGAAACAGCAGAATTAACATAGTTTTAGTTCAATGAAATATTGGCATCAATATCACATGTTCTGTGTAGAAGGTTAATTATTATCGTTATGCAGTGATCAACATCTATAGCATTTGTACTGATCAGACAATATCATGAATTCAGATAACGTGTAAAAACGTATTGCGGAAATTGGTTTGTTGTTTAGTCAGGGCCCTGTAATATTTTTAAGAGTCTGGTCGATTGGTTTGAATTAATCGCAGCTTGAAATTAATCGCAACTGTGTACTTCAGAGATACGGGTTGCGTTTAATTTCAATTCAAGTTGCGATTGTTTCGAATAAATCACAACTTTTCATAAGACGGAGCCATGGAATCCCAAACTTTCAGCTATATCTCGTCATTTTTTTTTAATATTAGGCCGTGTAAAAGTAAGACTATGCAGAGGAAATTTCTTCTGTGATATTCTTGAAAACTGACACAAAATATTTAGAAAACTCACTACTTTTTCCAATTTTTAAAACCAGAACTCAACCTTTTGAATGCTCTCAAAAATAGATATAATACGAAGCAGATCAAACTTGACGCACTGAACCTTAATATTTGCCCGAGGCTTCCAGAAATGCATTGCAAGTAGTTCAGATGTAGAGTTCTGTGCATGATTTATCAATTTAATCTTGTTCAAAATGTCAAGGAATATATTATGACATTATCATTTTGTTATGCCTGCAGTATCTGTTGTTTTTATGTTTGTTGTAAATAGCTTTTTATCACCAGAATAATATTGTTATTCTCTCTCCCCTCTCTCAATTTCTCCCTACATATTCATCTCATTCATCAAGTATCCTTTTCTTCATTTCTTTGCTTCCTCAAACTGGTCATTTATTCACATTTTACTTCACTATTGTATCTATAATGTAAGACTCCAAATCATAAGTTTGTAAATATTTATGTAACGAAGGCTTCGGTAATAAACCAACCCGGATAAGTTTTGGGAACATGATATATCATACATTTATAATATTGCTCTCGTTTTTTATATGAACCCCTACAAACTTTTTTTCTTTATAGGAGCGGCAGTGATGCAGCAGATCGTGGCATACTCAGAATTTAGCTCACATCGTGTATTTGGATATAAAAGTTATAATTATATATATCTTTTATTATTAAGAAAGGTGAATTTTTTTCTCGAAGTGTAAAGTGGCAAGGTAGAGGACTCTATAGAGATTTGATTCAATGGTTAAAATGAGACATAACTTGTTCTTTGGTGGTATTATCTTTCGAAAAAAGGAAAAAGTCAACAAAACTAAGAGAGGAACAACTAAGGTGTATCTATCTACAACATCTTACAAATAAAACAGCATTTTGATTATTGTTTGTCTCTTTGTTTGATTTTATTTCTGCATTTTTCAACATAATAGAAAGTAATATACAAACTAAATACATAGATATCATTTAAACAAAGTTAAAATACATATATAATCATATCATAATATAATTAAATGAAATAATTATACCTTTCAAAAAACGAAGTTTACAAATGATTTCAAAACTGAAAAACGCAGAAGACCGTCATCTTATGCTACGGTCACAAAGGTTCGTACGAATCGCTTCCTGTTTTCCCATTGACTTCCTGAATTGTCATTGTCTGAAAATCGTTCGTACGGCGTTCGTAGCAGTTCGTAATGGCATTGTGACCGAGGCTTTAAGCTGATCTTGAACGTGATGGCGGCCTCAGGTCAGGAAAATTATATGGGCGACCAAACCTATAACATATAGTATATTCAGAAACCAATTCATTGCAACAGCCATATAATGTAGTAAGTCATTTCTTCAGGCATAACATGAAATGCGTTTAGTGTTTGTATTGTGTAACCTGTATATTATGTAAGTGTATGTCTTCTGGTAAACGTTTTATTCATGTTCTTATTTATGTATGTGCAAGTGTGTGGGCGAGTGCATGTGTGTGTGCGAGTGCGTGTGTGTTTGGAGCGCTTATTAAATTATGACTTGTATGCTGATAATGATATTTACACTTTATGGCAGCCGTGAAATAATATATGGTAACTGATCTTTGAGCACTTTATACAGGGGTATGAGCTTATCCATCAGACATTTCTAACTACGTTATAATTTTACATTTTTTAATAATTGAAGAATGGATAGTTTTTTCTTGAAGTGTACAGTGGCAAGTTAAAGGAGTTAGGCTACTTGAGATTTGATTCAATGGATAAAAATGAGACATAACTTGTTCTTTGGAGGTATGGGAAGAGAGAGAGAGAGAGAGGGGGGGGGGGGAATCAAGACTCTATTTCGCTGAATATTTGATTATAATACGAGTTACTAATAACAGATTCGGGAGGTTTCACTTCTTGATGAACAAAGTAAAATGGAAGAGAAGCAGAATGTACAATATATCAATATGATAAGAATATTTTTACTTTGGTTGATGCTGAAACTTTATGCACTCCATTCTAAAAATGACTTTAAAAAGCATAATAAAGAGCAGAAAGAGCAGAGAAGAGAACAGCGACCATCGAAGGAACCATTGCGGTCGCATCGCCAAGGAGTAGCTCATTCGGATCACAGCCTAACCATTGGATAGCCGTATTCAGCGGATATCCGCTTTGCACCTCGACAGCGCGATCGTTAAACCGGTAATAATCTGACCCCTTGAAGAAATAAGTAATAGAGTTGCTATACTGAAAGGCGGCATCTACACCATCACTTGGAAGCCCACGAAAATGACTCAAGGGTTGTGGGTAGAATGAGCTTTCTTGACCAGTGTAGCGATAGTACTGATCTCCTGTTAATATGAGAAAAAATAAAATGGAAATCCATTTGAAAAGGTTCTTTTTGTGAGTTAGGAGAATAAAATTGATAGTAAAATCCTCTCCTATTCGTTCACACCTGTGAAACACGTCCACTATATCCAAATAAAATTGTTAGAATCTACATAAGCGTATATCGACCATTTAATCTCGTCACAACTTCGTCATGGTGAACAAAAATTCCAGCCTCTAGCCCCCGGACTGCCATCTCCGACAAACACTTTTCCCAGCAAAAATTACTCCACGCCATTTCTTCCTAGAGGAATTTACTCTAATTTTTTTGGCGATTCCAACGAAGAGAAAGTTAGCAGGGTGGAATTTTTAGCAGGATAATTTTCTTAAGGGTGGAGTTATCCGAGAGAAGGGATAGTTGCCCAGTGGTGTAATCTCATTGGTTAGGTGGGGGAGTTGTCTTAGAATCGTTTAAAATGGTTATGGTATTAATTTCTTCTCGTATATTTTCACTTGTGTATTTATGCAGGTTAAAAGCCACCTTTTTTTCGTTATTCTTTTTACAGATCGAAGAATTAACAACAAATTGATAAAATTATGAGTTATCTTACCTTTAGTAAAATAGATTCTACCATTGCGGCTCCATACGAAAGCCGAATCAACATCGGTTGGTACACCCCGCCAGGCGGACATCGGTCTCGGATAAGTGCCAGCCATTTCTTGGTCTCGAAAACGCCAATATTGACTTCCCTGTAAATGAGAAAAATATGATTGAAAAATGTATTTAAAAATATGTATATTTAAAAAATAAACAAAATAATAATATCAGCTCAAGTGATCCATTATTTAAAAAATCGAAGAAAGATTAAGGGCACTATGTTTGAGCGTGTGGGGATGTTTTTTTCGATATAGAGAAAAAGAGGTAAAGAGAGAGAGAGATGACATATGAAATTAGAGCAATAAATATAAACTATTTAGTCTATTACACATTTCATTATCACCAATGCTGTCATAAAGTGGCATGAAACATTATCTTGTCATGGAAGAGGAGCGATATGGGAGTACGCTCCTTACTTCAGAGAGCGGCTATGACCTCCAGATAGTATTGCTCCTTGTCACCTAGTAGCATTAATAAGGATAGGCCATCATACACTTATTTTTTGTATCAAATTTGATTCAGAAAATATCAAATCGAGTGTTTCTACGATTTCTCTATGAAATGTTCATCTTTACGTATTCACTCACCTTGAAAAAGTAGGTGTATGGAGAATAAAAGATAGCAGCGTCTAGGTTGGTTGGAAGACCGGGGAATTCGTCACCTATTCTCTTCGGATAACCGGCAGGAATTACGTTTTCACTCGTTCGACGGAACACGTGCGTTTCTATGGTAAGTACGGTCAAATGTTACACCAAAGTTAATATTTCGTTGTTACAATGCTTAACATCGTGATTCGATTTGCATATACGAAATTAATATGTAGTATTTTACGACTGTTGAGGAAGGGCACTAAATAGTATGACGGGGGTCGCGGAGGGTTTGAAAGGGCGGGGAATAAAAAGGCTCGGGGGCTCCTGGGGACAATACACAGACGAACTGTGACAAATTACATTTTTATTCTGTAGTTTGAAACTTTGAATGTTCACATAGGCATATTCAGGTCCCTTGCTCCGTTCTCTCTATTGATTTGAATGCTATCTGATTTCTGAATAAACCAGTTCAGAGGAATGGTCTTTAAAACAAGAGCAGACCTAAGATTTTGTGAATTGACAAGTGCTTCCGATAATGAACCTAATGGCACTATAAAACTGTATGACATAAATTGTGTTTCCTCGGTGGCTTAGCCTGTAGCTGCATGCGTGATGGCTAATGGTCGCTTAATGTAACAAGAACAGGAAGATTATAAAGATACAGTCAAAGCTGTTCATAGAGGCCACCCAAGAAAAACAGAGAAAGAGGCCATTGTAGACAGGTGGCCTTTCTAAACAGATTCTACAAAACACATTGCTACTCGAGGGTTACAACATACATGGCAACTATAGTATACAAATAATACACAGCAGTGAGGGTATTAGTAAGAATTACCCACACAAGGTACATTTGGAACAGTCTAACACTGTTTTGACGGTCCGGAGTGTGGGTAATTTTACGAATGCCTGAACAAAATACTGTGTATTATTTGTTTTATAAGATTATGTTTTATTTATTATATAAAATGATGTTTTATAACATGATTTCACTAACGACCGGTCATTAGAATTGGATAATGACCGGTCATAATCCAAATTACGCGTTAGGCAAATTATCTGCTTGGTCACGTGTACGATTTCAACCAATTATTTGATGAGGATCCACGTCATCATTAAACAGGTTTAATTTCTAACCATTAGCAAAGTAGGCACTGCCATCTTCCGTCCGTGTCGCCAGAGAAATCTGAGGCATGCAGTTGTCCAATGGCGTAGAGGGCGTGTCTGGCTCTTCTGGCTGCCCGTTTCCTTCTCCTAAAATATCAAAACAAAGAAAAGTGTTTACTAGTCATCTTAAAAAAATTGATGTTTGAACAGAAAAAAATTATGGTTTCATTTCATGATGATGTACTTGAGAAAGAGAGAGAAAGAAAGCAAGTTTTCAGGAAAATGACTGCTAGATCACTAATTATATGATAACAACATGATATTAAAATTATCTTAACTACACAGGGTAGCGTTACCAGTACTTAAGCTGTTCTTCCTGAGGGCCCTGCAATTATATCATGGGCAATTGCAACAACAACAAAGTGCTAACTTTTCTCCGTGTTACGCGCCCCTAGTTGTTTTGTTTTAATAACTAGTGCATTTCAACCTAAGTTAGCCTAAAATGCCCTAGGTAAATTACGTGGGCTTAAAAAGGGGGTTTAACAAAGAACAGTGATATAACTTACCGTAATGAGCTTGAATACCAGCAATATCATCTCGATGAAGCTGGAAGTTTGGTACGTATCCTCTGTAGTATGGGAACATAAGGGCATCCTCGATATCAGAGTGTCTGAGACCAAGACTATGACCAAACTCGTGAGCAGCGACTTGGAAAAGATTGATTCCTGTAAGGGGTAAAAAATAAATAATGGATCGGGATTGAATATCAAGTTTCTTTGTTTGGTGATCTATTTTTATTGAATTAGTGTTTATTATGTGTTTGTTTGCTTTTATAGTTACGTATCCAAAATTATGCAGATGTGTCGTGGTCTAGTAGATAAGTAACCGAATGGATTACAGCCCGTCACTTTGGCAAGCAATTAGTCTACATTTGCCACTCTCCACCCATGTGTAAATAAGTACCTGATACGCTAGTTACTTTGGTGGCCCAGCTATATCAACTAGGGTTATAATGTTCAAAGTTGGATGAATGAACATGTACTTACTATGTTGATAGTACGGAAAAAGTAGGAACTTCCCATTGCTTCGTTACGTTTCTAATTCTGATTATGTTTATGATAATGAAATCTTTAAATTACCTCTAGAGGTGCCTTCCGTGAACATCTCGCCTTCATCGAAATGTGCGTCGCCTCCAAGTGAGCTTGAGGAGGGGAAATACGCATGCGCTAGAACACCACCACCACCATCGAACCTGGCCTCTATCCCATCCCCGTGTTCACCCGCAGCGAAGATTATCTTGATGTCAGGCTCATTCGTCGTCACTTTGCGGAAAGTTAGAGTGGAGACGTCACTCCAAGCCTGTAATTATTACAGATAGACAAAACATGATGTACTGCTGCAACAACCACATCAACGACAACAGCACCAACGAAAACAACGACGACAACAACAACTAATACTATAGTATGCCTACTACTAGTATCATTACTACCAATACCACCACAACCATCACTACCACCTTAACTCTTGCTATTACTAGATGTACTATACTACTACTTCTACTATAATTGTCATTATACTTCTCCCACTATTATACTATCGTTACCGGCAACAACAAATTAATGGCCTTGGTAATTTTCTTTTCGCCCGCAGGGTAAGAACCAAAGACGTTGAAATATCCTGCTATTACTACTACTACTCCTACTACGCTACCAACAACAACCAACTAATGGCCTTGAAAGAACCCCCTCCATACCCCTTTCAATATCGGAGCCCCCTCCGTAAACCCTACCCCCCCCCCCCCCCCCCCCCCCCCCCGTTACCCCTTAATGTCGGAGCCCCTCCGTGTCTGGCCTCAACGCTTCACCACTGATACAAATGATATAAAAGTATAAAATACATACATACTCACACACGCACACACGCACACACGCGCGCGTACACACACAAACATATCCTCACACACTCACAAACATATTCTATGCCAATGACATCGGTAGATATCTTACCTTGAAAGCTCGTGCCATGATACTCTCTACTTGCGCACGGGGTAGATCATCGCTGTCTTCCAGGATATTCCACGTCAGGTCGGTCTGGCGCCACCTCGGACCCAGGGCATACCGTTTTCTTCTCATCATATCGGCAAAGGATTCCATGTCTTTCATGCCACAGCGAGGTGTGTTCATCAGCTCCATGGACTCTTCATCAAGGGTTCCTGACAAATCATCAAACAAATGATAATAATATTAATAATTACAATAATAATGATAAAAGCTTTTTGACAATCTTTCGAACAAAGTTACGACTAAAAATACATCCAAAACAACTGATTACCTGTCATCGTCATATTTCCCATTTTCTGGAAGTATGTAATGGATTTTGTCTTGGTTTCCTCATCTTTTGGCATTCCATTCACCATGTCGTTCTCAGTGATATAGCCATATTTCTTCATGAATGTCTGTTCGTAGATAGAAAAAACAACATTGACTTTAGTTAGACAAGTGATAATAGATTTATTTCAAGTTTGTTTCTGCGATTGTGTCAGACCTGAGAAGTATCGTTTTACGTGGGGGGGGGGGGGGGGGGGGGGGGGGCAATGGTACATTGAAAATGTGCGTGTGTATGTGCGTGATTGTGTGTGGGTGCGTGTGTGTGTGTGCGGGTAAGTTTGTGCATGCGAATTTTACTTATTGATCAAGTTTGTAAGATATAAATGATTTCTGATAATATCGATCAAGTAGCTGTAACTTGAGCTTTGTTGTTAAGTTTAGCGCCACCTTGTGGCTTCCGCCTGTTTATTTCTGAGAAAGAAATAGTTATTATTGTGCGACTTTGTTTAGCCATTACCCTACCGCCTCTTTGCAAACGTGTATTTTGTTATCCTTTCCTGTTTGGAATAAACTTCGTTTGGCATATTTGATCTACTGCATGACAAGGCTTTTGACCATTACTGCAGTGCTTGGTGATAATATTATGTAATCTTGTCGGTTAGTGCCTTCCTGCCGAATCAAACGGAACCGAAACAGGAACTAAGATTGTGTCGATGGACAATTCAACTTCACTTAACATAGGGAAATTAACACAAGAACACCCTGCTGATTATATGTTTATCATAAAAGTACATTCTTTATAGCAGGCCCCAACAAGATCATTCAATCAGTTTCAAATCAAGTTCAACTAATACTGCATGTCAGGCGCGCCGGAAGCAGTTTGGGATTGGGGTGGCAAACATTCCAGGGGGCTCACCTTCCAGGGGCAGTGACGTAATGAGAAAAAAACGTTCGGAAGGGGGGGGGGGGGGGCAGACGAAAAATCTGCATCACCACCAGTGTTCTAGGGGGAGGGAGAGCCCCCAGAAGCTTAGAGGTTTTAATATCTAACTACGGTCAGATGAGCATCCAGGGGCCCGCCTTAGAGCCCTTGGTGGGGTCCAGGGGGCAGAGCACCCGGAAGCTCAGGGTTTTGGGTATTTAATTACGGTCAGATGAGCATCAAGGGGCCCGCCATAGGGCCCTTGGTGGGGTCCAGGGGGCAGAGCCCCCGGAAGCTCAGGGGTTTTGGTATTTAATTACGGTCAGACGAGCATCCAGGGGCCCGCCTTAGGCCCTTGGTGGGGTCCAGGGGGCAGAGCCCCGGAAGCTCAGGGGTTTTGGGTATTTAATTACGGCCAGATGAGCATCCAGGGGCCCGCCTTAGGGCCCTTGGTGGGGTCCAGGGGGCAGAGCCCCCGGAAGCTCAGGGGTCTTGGGTATTTAATTACGGTCAGATGAGCATCCAGGGGCCCGCCATAGGGCCCTTGGTGGGGTCCAGGGGGCAGAGCCCCCGGAAGCTCAGGGGTTTTTGTTATTTAATTACGGTCAGATGAGCATTTTTTATACCTTATTTGTAACATTGGCAGGTCACTTATTTCTATCTCTGTCTTTCTTTCTCTTTCTCTTTAACATACTTTTTCAAAAAGTGAGGGGGGGGGGGGGTCTCGAACCCAGCCACTTTGCAGACCATGACATAAAGGCTTCTAAATAAACGTATTTTTCGCCCGACTGTAATTTGGGAATTTCTTATTTTCCAACAAAGGCATAAGAAGGTATGACTTACAAACAAATGGAGAAAAAATACCGGAAAATCATGTCATAACAGCAACATTTGTAAATCACTGGTATCGAATAAGAAATACACCCCCCCCCCCCCATCAGTACGCCAGCGTTCAGGGGCTCATGTCTTCTCACCCCTATAACAAAAAAACAGACACGCTTTCCCATTCTCGCACAATAATTGTCCACGACATGCGCGCATCGCTATTATAAAGACCTCCATTAATAAATACCGTATAGGTGGCATGCGCAATTCCTGTGAACTTTCCTTTTCTTTGAATGGAATTGTATATGTGATTTAATTCAGGTTTATCTTATTGTTATGTTCTTTTGGGTTAAAAATACAAACCATGTTTACTCTTTTACTGCTTTTTTTTTTTTTTTGAGGGGGGGGGGGGCGTTTTTGGGGGGCAAAAATGCGTTTTGCCCCCCCCCCCACTTTTTTGATTGGGGGGGGGGGGGGGGGCAACTGCCCCCCCTGCCCCCCCCCCCCCACTTCCGGCGCCTATGCTGCATGTGCAGTCGTACCGCATAACTGACTTCACCGGAATCCAAACCGACAGATTCATGGCCATTCTATGTTATGACATTTCATTTCCGGCCTGGTGCCAGTCCATGGTATGACAGAGGTTAAAGGTCACACCGCCAGACCGCGAGTCCAAAGCGCGAGTCCAAACCGACATCAATTCTACTTATCTTATTATGCAAGTGTGAAAGAACATCAGTTAAGACATGTTCCCTGAAAAGCATGGCTCTTCAAATGCCTTCATATTCTAAATATGCATGTAACATCGTAAAAATCGGGGGGCCGGCTTTTTACGCCACGTGTTCGTGTAGTCCCATATACATCTTTCTGTGCAAGTGTTTGTAACTTTACAAAGACTTGGCCAAATTTCTTATCATTTTGATGATTCCAGAACCTTGCAATACACACAAATTCTTATATGCTAGATGATCAACCTTTTCTGGTCGGTTCCACACCGTTTCTTTCACAATGCAATCGCATGACCAGAACTCAACTTAATCTTTAAGAAACACCTCGTAAACCTACACTCTGCAGATAAATATCTTCTTGTAGACAACATAGTTTTTCTTATTCCTTTAATATGGCACGGATTCTTGTTACATTTTGTATTCTCATAGAAACAGCCAGAGAATGATTTTTCAATTGAATTTATATTCTTGTGCATGACCAATCAATTTAAACGTTCTCACCGATAAAAAAATAACCAATGATCTCGAATCAGGTGATACGTTTTTAATGAACAGTTACAAAGATCTTTGCACCTAAAAGGCTCAAACATAAAATGATATTGATGGTGAAAAACTCCGAGGATCAGTCCTACTCTGTGTTTCAATTTCAACTTGAAAAATGAATATTTAAGCCAATATTGTAGTTCCCTTTCAAGATGAGATACATTACACTGTACAGTCCATAAACAATGATTGTGCATACTTAAGCTGCGGTGCATTCACTTTTATTACCAACTTTTTTAATTTGATATGATTTATTGATTTCTGCATTTTCTATATACAATAATAATCAGTAACAATATGGATATTTTGTACGTAGTGGTAATATTTGTTCAAATCACAATTAGTAACAAAATGTATGAAACAAAATGTTGGGACGGATTGACATAGCAAATGCAGAGGAGCTGCAGAGTAAGCGTGTGCTTGAAGTGCAGGCAGCTCTTTAACTTATGATTATACACCGAGAGAAAACTATGATAATATAAACAGGCAAAAAAAAAAGAAGGAAATTAAAGTAAAAAAAAATTACAACAATGACAAAAACATTATTTTAACGATATCCTCATGATCAGTATGTTACTCTCTTGTTACGAAATCAATATTTTGCACCGATACACATACAATGTCAACTCTATCATTGCTGTAAAGCATGTATTTTTAGTACACTTTTGTAAGATGTTACATTTTAGTTGTTATTGTTATTCCAACAATATGGACAACAGTATTTATGCAGTATCGAACAAAAGATAGTATTCCCCCCTTACAAAACGTTTCATTTTGTTGAAAGTTATTTATGTACCAAGTAACAGCATAATACATACCCAAATCTGTTCCTGGGTTTCAATTGGTTCTGCTGCCATAGAGCCGACAGCCACCAGACAGCATCCCAGGAGGAGTACTACCAATCTCGGCATCATCTTCCTATCTTTCCCTACTACCGTGTTTGTTCTCAAACTCTAAATGGAACCCTTTCTTCCTCGATGATATTCAACAATCCTTGCTTTAACTTCTCCTTGCCAGAGTAATACTGGAGGTGACGAGTTTTTTTTAGAAGTTAATGCCACTGTAAATACAATTCCTCTTTATATAGATTCTACTCTCGTATTTCTTTGATAATAGAATTCCATTTATGGAATAAACGATATGATTGGATGCTCGTCAATTTTGCACTCGGCACTTTTTTCATGGAATCGCAGTCTGACGCATTGTTCCGAGGTTAAAGGGATAGTTGAGTTCTGTTGCAGAGGACGCTACACAAAATAATTTTTTTGTGATATAATGAAAAACTGAGTGTCAAATTTGAAAGAACATAATATTTAAATGACAAATTCATCTTTGTTTGATCAAAATAGGTTCACAGACGGCTGAAATATCCATAAATATAACAATTTCGTACCACCACAAATATTAGATATTTTGAAAAATTTGAAAAAAAACCGTTGAAAAAACGAAATAACGGCTTTTACGTCGTATTTCAGCCAATGCCGCTGTATCTTTTTTGTTGGCATGTTCGTGTTGCTTATATTACGCACAACCAGCCGGACCATGTATTGTTATTTTTAATTAAAAAATTAATTAACGGTCGCCGTGTTTTTTTGAAAGTGGAGCTGTATTGGTATGATCGTATTGGCTAAATTCACACATTTTGTGGTCTAAAATTAACCGTTCATAGAAGTTTATGGTTCTAAAAGGGCACTAGAAATGTCATAGATAAGAATAAGAGCAATAACCATGCACTTTGAAGGCATTTGCGGTCTGAAAACAGAACTCAACTATCCCTTTAATGAAAAGGCCTATACGCATTATCCGGGGGGGGGGGGGGGGTACTCAAATTTGGTTTTGACAGGGATGTGACGCTGAAGCCTGAAAGTTCCGAAGGTTTTTCTCGAAGTAAAGCCCATTTTTGAAAAAAGGACCCATGTTTAGGGATATGTTAGATTAAAATAGGACCCATGTTTAGGGATTGTTTGTGAAAAAGGGACCCATCAGAGCGGCATCCCCCATATGTCTCAATATGTGAGTATCCCTCCCCCCCCCGAGGGGGGGGGGGGGGGGGGGCATTACCAGAGCAAAGTTCGAAAAAAAGGCAGTCACGCATTATCATATCACATTGCTATATTATTTTCGAAATATTGATCCTTTGTAATTCGAAACTCTGTCTTTTGAGGTCGAGTAGAAATGACATTACTGATCATGTCTTCAAGAATATAAAAGTAATTAGGTCTATCAGGCCCTTATTAGGTATCATTTGATATTGTCACGAATCATAACAAGTTCCTGTGCATGATGGGAGTGATGCTCTATGAAAATTGTGAAATCCTGATTGATAACAAATTTAGGATTGTTGTTTTTAGCCTCTAATAAACGTATTTTTTTTAATCTAAAGTCACATTGGGTGACAGGGCTTTAGTAACATTCATGTTTTAATGATGGTTGCGCGACGATTTTAAAAATAAGAACTCAACCTTTTGAATGCTCTCACTCTCAGAAAATAGATATAATACGAAGCAGATCAAACTCGACGCACGGAACCTTAATATTAGACCAACGCTTCCCGAAATGCATTTCAAGTAGTTCAGTTGTAGAATTCTGTGCATGATTTATCAATTTAATCTTGTTTAAAATGTCAAGGAATGTCTTTATGAAAATATTTTGTTGTTATGCCTGCAGTATCTGTTTTTTTTTTTTTTTTTTTACCAAAATAACATTTTGTATGTACATTAATGACATGTGATCTAGCCTTGCATTCAACTACTAATATTTCTTTGTACGCAGATGACACTGTCATTTTCTCCTCTGGTTATGGAGTACAAGCTGTTCAAACCCAGTTACAAAATGACATACTAGGTTTATGTGAATGGATGTATGAAAATGGACTAGTTGTTAACAAAGACAAAACTAAAGTTATGTTTTTTTCAAGTCGAAGGAAGAAGAATCCAGTCAAATTACAAATAAAAATGGATGGTAAACTTATAGAAAATGTAACAAAATTGAAATATCTGGGTGTTATTGTAAACTTAGATTGGTCTCCCAATGTAAGAGGATTATGAACTCGCTTATATGTATGCGAAGGATTAAGCACTGTTTGACAAAATGTTTATTTACTCATTTATATTTTTTAATTCTTCCTCACATTGATTATTGTTCAACTGTTTAAGGAACACTGAAAATGAAAGATTTAAAGCGACTAGAAAAATGTCAAAACAAATATTGTCGTTTTAGTATTAGATGCAGATTATTATACGCCTGTACAATCTATGTTAAATTCTTTAAGGTTGCAATCCGTCAAACACAGATTGGAATACAACTATCAAGTACTTACGTATAAAATCCTGAATAATCTTGCTCCTGTTTATCTCAAACAAGCTCTACCTCAAAGTGCTAACCCGTATCCCACGAGATCAGTTTCAATGCATCAATTGTACCTTGCCAAACCAAGAACCGATATTAAAAAACAGACCTTCTCGTATACACAGCAGCAAAGTTATAAGTTCAACTCACTACCCATACTTACCAAATGTTCCGCCTCACTACCCATTTTTAAACGAAATGTCCGTGAAATTCAAGTGAGTTGATCATGCGATCGCTCACATGAAGTGTTCCTACCACCCCCCCTCTCTCTCTCTCTCTCTTTCGTTTACTCTCTCTCCTCTTCCATTTTCATTTAATTTCCTATTTGTATAAAATGTTTTATAGTTTGTTTATATTGTGTTTGTTTTTAAATTATTGTATATTTTGTGTATTTGTATGTGTATTGTATATTTGAAATGTAATTTGTTACAGCAGGGCTCCCTTGTAAAGCAGGCCTTGAGGCTTGAACGGGACTACCCTGCTTTTATGAAGAAAACATGAATAAATAAATTGTTATTCTCTCTCCCATCTCTCCATCTCTCCCTACATATTCATCTCGTGAATCAAGTATCCTTTTCTTCATTTCCTTGCTTCCTCAAACTGGTCATTTATTTACATTTTACTTCACTATTGTATTTATAATGTAAGACTCCAAATCATAAAAAAAAAACCCTGATAAGTTCTAGGTAAATGATATATCATACATTTGTAATCTTCGTCTCGTTTACTTTTTTTTCTTCTTCATTTGAGCAGCAGTGATGCAGCAGATTGTGGCAAACTCACAATTTAGCTCACATCGTGTATTTGGATATAAAAGTTATAATTATATATATATTTTAATATTAAGAAAGGAGAATTGTTTTCCTCGCAGTCTAAAGTGGCAAGCTAGAGGATTTAATTGAGATTTGATTTAATGGTTAAAATGAGACATAACTTGTTCTTTGGTGGTATCATCATTCGAAAGGAGAAAGTCAACACAACTAAGAGAGGAACAACTATTGGGTGAAACCATTTAAAACATCTAACACATAAAACAACGTTTTCATTATTGTTTGTTTCTTTGTTTGATTTTATTTCTGCATTTTTTAACATAATAGACACTAATATACAAAATAGGTACGTATATATTATTAACAAAAGATAAAATACATATATAATCATATCATAATATAAGAAAATAAAATGATTAGACCTTTCAAAAGGTACTACAATTTTTTATATGAGGTCATAAATTTGGTTAAAATGAACATATTGGAAGCATATGCGATTTACAATATTCAATGATCGTTGTCGCGGTTGAAATCGAGTCTAAAGTGATGAAATTGTAAAGAATAAACTCTTTATGTTGATTAGCGCCCTCTCAAGACTGATATTAGTTTAGGTTTAAAACAATGTTTCTTGATTACAATCGACCGATTTGCTATTTCCGTTTGGAAATTATATATCATAACTGCATATTGAGATTTTCATGGTTGCAACTACCAAGAATGGTCTTAGGCGCTATTTGAAATATTTGAGATTTACCGGGAGCACCGGTAAATTTTGATTATTCAATATTTCGAAAGCAGATGTGCTTTAGGTGCTAAATTTTCTAGTACTTAATATACATTCACAGGGGCATCCAAATATATCAACATTTTAAAGAATTACTATCCATCCAATTTTCTAAATTTCCCAAAAATTTCCCCCAAACATGGAAGACCGCCATCAAGCTGATCTTGAACGTAATGGCGGCCTCAGGTCAGGAACATTAGGGACTTTTAGATTCTAGTATAATCGGAAACCAATTCATTGTAACCGCCACATAAGTATATCGCTTTGTTTAGGCATATTAACCTGAAATGCGTTAAGTTATGCGTAAAATGAGACATAACTTGTTCATTGGAGGTATGGGAAGAGAGAGAGAGAGAGAGAGAGAGAGAGAGAGAGAGAGAGAGGGGTGGGGGAGGGAGGGGGGGTGGGGAGGGGGGATCAAAACTCTATTTCACTGAATATTTGATTATACGAGTTACTAATAACAGATTCGGGAGGTTTCACTTCTTGATGAACAAAATAAAATGGAAGAGAAGCAAAATGTACAATATATAAATGTGATTCAATTTTTTCACTTTGATTGGTGCTGAAACTTTATGCACTCTAATTCTAAAAATGACTTTAAAAAGCATAATAAATGGCAGAAAGAGCAGAGAAGAGAACAGCGACCATTGAGGGAACCATCACTGTCGCATCGCCTCCGGTATCCGCAGGTGGTCCGAGAAGCTCATTCGGATCACAGCCTAACCATTGGATAGCCGTATTCAGCGGATATCCGTTATCCACCATGACAGTGCTATCGTTAAACCGGTAATAATCTGACCCCTTGAAGAAATAAGTGATAGAGTTGCTATACTGGAAGGCGGCATCTACACCATCACTTGGAAGCCCACGAAAATGGCTCAAGGGTTGTGGGTAGAATGAGTTTTCTCGACCAGTGTAGCGATAGTACTGATTTCCTGTTAATATGAGAAAAGTAATATGGAAATCCATTTGAAAAAGTGCTTTTTGTGAGTTAGGTGAATAAAATTGATAGTAAAATCCTCTCATATTCGTTTACCTGTAAAGCACGTCCACTATATCCAAATAAAATTTACTATCTGTAAAATTTACTATCTGTAAAGCGCTTTGAGAGGGCCTTCGGTCCTGAAAAGCGCTATATAAGAACTAGCTATTATTATTATTATTACATATTAAGCGTATTTCTACCATTTTATCTTGTCACAACTTCGTCATGGTGAAAAATAATTTCAGCCTCTAGCCCCGGACTGCCATCTCCGACAAACACTTTTCCAAGCAAAAATTACCCCACGCCATTTCTTCCTAGAGGAATTTACTTTATTTTTTGGCGATCCCAACGAAGAGAAAGTTAGCAGGGTGTCATTTTTAGCAGGATAATTTTCTTACGGATGGAGTTATCCTAGAGAAGGGATAGTTGCCCGGTGGTGTAATCTCATTGGCCAGGTGGGGGAGTTGTCTTAGAATCGTTTTAAATGGTTATGGTATTAATTTCTTCTCGTATATTTTCACTTGTGTATTTATGCAGGTTAAAAACGACTGTATATATGTTTTCTTTATTCTATGTACAGATCGAAGAATTAACAACAAATTGATAAAATTATGAGTTATCTTACCTTTAGTAAAATAGATTCCGCCATTGCGGCTCCATACGAAAGCCGAATCAACATCGGTTGGTACACCCCGCCAGTCGGACATCGGTCTCGGATAAGTGCCAGCCATTTCCTGGTTTTGAAAACGCCAATATTGACTTCCCTGTAAATGAGAAAAATATGATTAAAAAAATATGTATATTTAAAAAATAAACAAAATAATAATATCAGCTCAAGTGATCCGTTATTTAAAAAATCGAAGAAAAATGAAGGGCACTATGTTTGAGCGTGTGGGGGTGTTTTTCGATATAGAAAAAAAAGAGGTAAAGAGAGAGAGAGAGAGAGAGAGATGACATATGAAATTAGAGCAATAAATATAAACTAATTAGTCTATTACACATTTCATTAGCACCAATGCTATCATAAAGTGGCATAAAACATTATCTTGTCATGGAAGAGGAGCGATATGGGAGTACGCTCCTTACTTCAGAGAGCAGCTATGACCTCCCAAAAGTATTGCTGCTTGTCACCTAGTAGCATTAATAAGGATAGGCCATCATACACTTATTTTTGTATCAAGTTTGATTCAGAAAATATCAAATCGAGTGTTTCTACGATTTCTCTATGAAATGTTCATCTTTACGTATTCACTCACCTTGAAAAAGTAGGTGTATGGAGAATAAAAGATAGCAGCGTCTAGGTTAGTTGGAAGACCGGGGAATTCGTCACCTATTCTCTTCGGATAGCCGGCAGGAATTATGTTATTACTCGTTCGACGGAACACGTGCGTTTCTGTGCATAGGAAGAGGGTGTAGGTAAGTACGGTCAAATGTTATACCAAAGTTAATATTTCGTTGTTACAATGCTTAACACCGTGATTCAATCTGCATACGAAATTAATATGTAGTATTTTACGACTGTTGAGGAAGGGCACTAAAAAGTATGAAGGGGGCCGCGGAGGGTTTGAAAGGGCGGGGACTAAAAAGGCTCGGGGGCTCCTGGGGACAATACACAGACGATCTGTGACAAATTACATTTTCATTCTGTAGTTTGAATGTTCACACGGGCGTATTCAGGTCTGTTCTCTCTATGAGGTTAGCCAGGTTTAAGTCATTGATTTGAATGCTATCTGATTTTTGAATACATCAGTTCAGAGGAATGGTCTTTAAAAAAAGAGCAGACCTAAGATTTTGAGAATTGACAAGTGCTTCCGATAATGAACCTAATTGCACTATAAAACTGTATGACATAAATTGTGTTTCCTCGGTGGCTTAGCCTGTAGCTGCATGCGTGATGGCTAATGGTCGCTTAATGTAACAAGAACAGGAAGATTATACAGTCAAACCTGTTCATGGAGGCCATCCAAGAAAAACAGAGAAAGAGGCCATTGTAGACAGGTGGCCTTTCTAAACAGATTCTACAAAACACATTTCCTACTCGAGGGTTACAACATACATGGCAACTATAGTATACAAATAATACACAGCAGTAAGGGCATTAGTAAGAATTACCCACACAAGGTACCTTTGGAACAGTCTAACACTGTTTTGACGGTACGGAGTGTGGGTAATTTTACGAATGCCTGAACAAAATACTGTGTGTTATTTGTTTTATAAGATTATGTTTTATTTATTATATAAAATGATGTTTTATAACATGATTTCACTAACGACCGGTCATTAGAATTGGATAATGACCGGTCATAATCCAAATTACGCGTTAGGCAAATTATCTGCTTGGTCACGTGTACGCTTTCAACCAATTATTTGATGAGGATCTACGTCATCATTAAACAGGTTTAATTTCTAACCATTAGCAAAGTAGGCACTGCCATCTTCCGTCCGTGTCGCCAGAGAAATCTGAGGCATGCAGTTGTCCAATGGCGTCGAGGGCGTGTCTGGCTCTTCTGGCTGCCCGTTTCCTTCTCCTAAAATATCAAAACAAAGAAAAGTGTTTACTAGTCATCTTAAAAAAATTGATGTTTGAACAGAAAAAATTATGGTTTCATTTCATGATGATGTACTTGAGAAAGAGAAAGAAAGAAAGCAAGTTTTCAGGAAAATGCTAGATCACTAATTATAATTATGATAACAACATGATATTAAAATTATCTTATCTACACAGGGTAGCGTTACCAGTACTTATGCTGTTCTTCCTGAGGGCCCTGCAGTTATAGTGTTATTATAATCATCTTAATATTAAATGCAATGCATCATCATTATAACTGTATGTCTATCAGCGTGTCCACACACAAATTTATTTATCCCGAAACCCTACAGCGAAACGTCGTATATGTACGCAGTTTGCTACTGCGGTCATGAAACGGAAGCGGAAATGAGAGGTCAGGTCTCCTTCCGCGCGCGGTCAGGTTAAGCCCCGCCCAGTTTTATCGTTCTAGTTCGACGAGTTATACTAGTTACGTTCACACACAACACATTCCGGGATTCTTTACGAGTTCTAGTTCGACACGATGCCCAGACCCGCGTTTCGTCATACGATGTTTCGTTATACGACGTATCGTTAGTAAGAGTACACACACACACACACACACACACACACACACACACACACTATTTTATCGTATAACTATCCCGAAACGTAATACCATTTCGGGATAGTTATACGATGAATTTGTTGTGTGTGGACACGAGATATATCTTGCAATTTCATTATCATGACGGGCACGCAAACACAAAGCTTAGCAACTTATCGTACGATCGATTGGTTTTACATCATGGTCAATTGCAACAACAACAAAGTGCTAACTTATCTCCGTGTTACGCGCCCCTAGTTGTTTTGTTTTAATAACTAGTGCATTTCAACCTAAGTTAGCCTAAAATGCCCTAGGTAAATTACGTGGGTTTAAAAAGGGGGTTTAACAAAGAACAGTGATATAACTTACCGTAATGAGCTTGAATACCAGCAATATCATCTCGATGAAGCTGAAAGTTTGGTACGTATCCTCTGTAGTATGGGAACATAAGGGCATCCTCGATATCAGAGTGTCTGAGACCAAGACTATGACCAAACTCGTGAGCAGCGACTTGGAAAAGATTGATTCCTGTAAGGGGTAAAAAATAAATAATGGATCGGGATTGAATATCAAGTTTCTTTGTTTGGTGATCTATTTTTATTGAATTAGTGTTTATTATGTGTTTGTTTGCTTTTATAGTTGCGTATCCAAAATTATGCAGAGGTGTTGTGGTCTAGTAGATAAGTAACCGAATGGATTACAGCCCGTCACTTTGGCAAGCAATTAGTCTACATTTGCCACTCTCCACCCATGTGTAAATGAGTACCTGATACGCTAGTTACTTTGGTGGCCCAGCTATATCAACTAGGGTTATAATGTTCAAAGTTGGATGAATGAACATGAACTTACTATGTTGATAGTACGGAACTAGTAGGAACTTCCCACTGTTTCGTTATGTTTCTAATTCTGATTATGTTTATGATAATGAAATCTTTAAATTACCTGTAGAGGTGCCTTCCGTGAACCTCTCGCCTTCATCGAAATGTGCGTCGCCTCCAATTGAGTTTGAGGTGGGGAAATACGCATGCGCTAGAACACCACCACCACCATCGAACCTGGCCTCTATCCCATCCCCGTGTTCACCCGCAGCGAAGATTATCTTGATGTCAGGCTCATTCGTCGTCACTTTGCTGAAAGTTAGAGTGGAGACGTCACTCCAAGCCTGTAATTATTACAGATAGACAAAACATGATGTACTGCTGCAACAACCACATCAACGACAACAGCACCAACGAAAACAACAACGACAACAACAACTAATACTATAGTATGCCTACTACTAGTATCATTACTACCAATACCACCACAACCATCACTACCACCTTAACTCTTGCTATTACTAGATGTACTATACTACTACTTCTACTATAATTGTCATTATACTTCTCCCACTATTATACTATCGTTACCGACAACAACAAATTAATGGCCTTGGTAATTTTCTTTTCGCCCGCAGGGTAAGAACCAAAGACGTTTGAATATCCTGCTATTACTACTACTACTCCTACTACGCTACCAACAACAACCAACTAATGGCCTTGAAAGAACCCCCTCCATACCCCTTTCAATATCGGAGCCCCCTCCGTAAACCCCCCCCCCCCCCCGTTACCCCTTAATGTCGGAGCCCCTCCGTGTCTGGCCCCAACGCTTCACCACTGATACAAATGATATAAAAGTATAAAATACATACATACTCACACACGCACACACACACACGCGCGCGTACACACACAAACATATCCTCACACACTCACAAACATATTCTATGCCAATGACATCGGTAGATATCTTACCTTGAAAGCTCGTGCCATGATACTCTCTACTTGCGCACGGGGTAGATCATCGCTGTCTTCCAGGATATTCCATGTCAGGTCGGTCTGGCGCCACCTCGGACCCAGGGCATACCGTTTTCTTCTCATCATATCGGCAAAGGATTCCATGTCTTTCATGCCACAGCGAGGTGTGTTCATCAGCTCCATGGACTCTTCATCAAGGGTTCCTGACAAATCATCAAACAAATGATAATAATATTAATAATGACAATAATAATGATAAAAGCTTTTTGACAATCTTTCGAACAAAGTTACGACTAAAAATACATCCAAAACAACTGATTACCTGTCATCGTCATATTTCCCATTTTCTGGAAGTATGTAATGGATTTTGTCTTGGTTTCCTCATCTTTTGGCATTCCATTCACCATGTTCTCCTCAGTGATATAGCCATATTTCTTCATGAATGTCTGTTCGTAGATAGAAAAAACAACATTGACTTTAGTTAGACAATTGATAATAGATTTATTTCAAGTTTATTTCTGCGATTGTGTCAGACGTGAGAAGTATCGTCTTACGTGGGGGGGGGGGGGGGGGCAGTGGTACATTAAAAATGTGCGTGTGTATGTGCGTGAGTGTGTGTGGGTGTGCGTGTGTGTGCGGGTAGGTTTGTGCATGCGAATTTTACTTATTGATCAAGTTTGTTAGATATACATAATTTCTGATAATATCGATCGAGTAGCTGTAAACTTGAGCTTTGTTGTTAAGTTTAGCGCCACCTTGTGGCGTCCGCCTGTTTATTTCTGAGAGAAATAAATAGTTGTTATTGTGCGGCAATGTTTAGCCATTACCCTACCGCCTCTTTGCAAACGTGTATTTTGTTATCCTTTCCTGTTTGGAATAAAACTTCGTTTGGCATATTTGATCTACTGCATGACAAGGCTTTTGACCATTACTGCAGTGCTTGGTGATAACATTATGTAATCTTGTCGGTTAGTGCCTTCCTGCCGAATCAAACGGAACCGAAACAGGAACTAAGATTGTGTCGATGGACAATTCAACTTCACTTAACATAGGGAAATTAACACAAGAACATCCTGCTGATTATATGTTTATCATGAAAGTACATTCTTTATATCAGGCCCCAAAAAGATCATTCAATCAGTTTTTAAAAAAGTTCAACTAATGCTGCAATGCAGTCATACCGCATAACTGACTTCACCGGATTCCAAACCGACAGATTCACGGTCATTCTATGTAATGACTTTTCATTTCCGGCCTGGTGCCAGTCCATGGTATGACTGAGGTTAAGGTCACACCGCCAAACCGCGAGCCCGAACCGACGTCAAACCGATCAAGTTTTGGCCAGTCTAGGTGATGTTATTAATTAGGTTTGGTCTCGTGTCGGTCTCGTTGGTGAGACAGGTGTATGTGGGGGGGGGGGGGGGGGGGGGGTGGCTACATACCCTTAAAAAACCCTGGAACAATCCCCTATATAGAAGCAGAATCACTCCACACCTTTAAGAAACACCTCGTAAACCTACACTCTGAAGATAAATATCTTCTTGTAGACAATTTAGATTATTCTAATTCCTTTAATATGGCACGGATTCTTGTTACATTTTGTATTCTCATAGAAATAGCCGGAGAGTGATTTTGTATGCCAATTGTATTTTTATTCTTGTGCATGACCAATTAATCTGAACGTTCTCAACGATAGAATAATAATAACCATGAGCTTGGCTTAGGTGATACGTTTTAATGAACAGTTACAAAGCTCACACATGAAATGATATTGATGGCGATAACTCCGAGGATCCGTGATACTCAGTGTTTCAATTTCAACTTGAAAAATGAATATTTCAGCCAATATTGTTGGTCCCCTTCAGGATGACATATAACATTGTACAACCCATAAACAATGATCGTGCATACAAAAGCTGCGGTGCATTCTCTTTTATTGCCAGCTATTTTGATTTGATTTGATTTAATGATTTCTGCATTTGTTTTAATACAATAATAATCAGTAACAATATGAACATTTTTGTGCATAGTGGTAATATTTGTTCATATTACAATGAAAAACAACATTTATGAAACGAAATGTTGGGAACGATTGACATAGTACATGCAGAAGAGCTGCAGCGAAAGCGTGTGCTTGAAGTGCAGGCAGCTCTTTATCTTATGATTATACACCGAGAGAAAACTATGGTAATATAAACAGGCAAAAATAAAAAAGAAATGAAAGTTAAAAAAATTACAACAATGACAAAAATAATATTTTAACGATATCCTCATGATCAGTATGTTACTCTCTTGTTATGAAAACAATATTTTGCACCGATACACATACAATGTCTACTTTATCATTGCTGTAAAGCATGTATTTTTAGTACACTTTTGTAAGATGTTATATTTTAGTTATTGTTATTCCAACAATATGGGAGAGCAGTATATATGCCGTATCGAACAAAAGATAGTACACCCCTTACAACAAGATTTCATTATGTTGAAAATTATATTATTGACCAAGTAACAGCATAATACATACCCAAATCTGTTCCTGGGTTTCAATTGGTTCTGCTGCCATAGAGCCGACAGCCGCCAGACAGCATCCCAGGAGGAGTACTACCAATCTCGGCATCATCTTCCTATCTTTTCCTCGTACCGTGTTTGTTCTAAACTCTAAATAGAACCTATCAAACTCGATGTTATTCAACAATCTTTGCTTTAACTTCTCCTTGCCAGAGTGATACTGGAGGTGACGAGTTTTATCCGAAATTAATGCCACTGTAAATACAATTCTTCTTTATATAGATTCTACTCTCGTATTTCGTTGATGAGAGAATTCCATTTATGGAAAAAATGATATGATTGGATGCTCATCAATTTTGCACGCGGCACTTTTTTCATGGAATCACAGCCTGACTCATTGTTCCAATGTTGAAAAGGCCTATACGCATTATTCGGGGGGGGGGGGATCAGATTTGGGTTGGGCGGGGGTGTATTTGTAAGGGTCATTTTGAGGGATTTTTCCGGAAGTAAAGCCCATTTAAAAAAAAAAAAACACGAAAAAAAAAAGAAATTTTGAAAAAGCGGACCCATGCTAAGGGATACTTTTGTTAAAAATAGGACCCATGTTGAGGGATTTTTTGTGAAAAAGTGACCCATGAGAGCGGCACACCCCAATATGTTATATATGCCGTATCGAACAAAAGATAGTACACCCCTTACAACAAGATTTCATTATGTTGAAAATTATATTATTGACCAAGTAACAGCATAATACATACCCAAATCTGTTCCTGTGTTACAATTGGTTCTGCTGCCATAGAGACCCCCGCCACCCCCCCCCCCCGGGCGCATTACCACAGCAGAGCAAAGTTCGAAAAAAAGGCAGTCACTCATTATCATATCACATTGCTATCTTATTTTCGAAATATTGATCCTTTGTAATCCGAAACTCTGTCTTTTGAGGTCTAGTAGAAATGACATTACGGGTCATGTCTTTAATTAGAACATAAAGTAATTATCAGGCATTTGCCATTTTTAGGTATCATTTGATATTGTCACCAATCATAAAAAGTTCTTGTGCATGGGAGTGATGCTCTATGAAAATTCTGAAATCCTGGCTGATAACAAATTTAGGATTGCTGTTTTTAGCCTCTAATAAAAAATTTTATCTTTTAAATATCATGAAAGTCACATTGGATGATAGGGCTTTAGTAACATTCATGTTTTAATGATGGTTGCGCGACGATTATGAGATCATACTGTATATTAGGGATTTCACGGGCAGAGGTTAATGCAATTTTACGATTAAAATCGGATCAGTGCTTCAGCAAAATTTCCACTTATTTCAAGTGCAAGTCATTTCCTCATGCAATAACATAGAATCAAGGACGTATTACTTGATTGAATCAATGATAATGTAAACACAATGTAAGTTGGTCTGTCTCGGTTGTGTTCTCGTGTTACCATATGAACTCATTATCTAATTGACATGTGCCTCTTTTCCTTTCAGTCCGTTTTCACTACTGTGTTTTTTGTTGTTGATAATTCCATTTTTACAATCTGTTGGATTTAATAATTCTTTCAAAAGACTTTACAAGAAACATCTTTTCTCTCTTTATAACGCATAATTTATTTTAAGACCACACCTATATTACTAATACTCCTTTTTTTCTCTCTTTTTCTTTTTTTCTTTCCTTTTTTTTTTTTTCTTCTTTAAGTATATGTTATTATTACTTCTGCGCATGATGCATTCAATTGACAAGCCTTACTGGCTTTTACGGATGCACCATTTTCCATTTATATTTTGAATGCTGTTATGTCAATTTTATATGTAATTTTGATATTGTTAGATGTTATGAAATTCCATATTTTATCTTTTTATATATTGTCATGATGATGGAAATAAATTTCAATTCAATTCAATTCAATAATTGCAATTCTAACTTTCAATTTCCATCCACACGATGTTTATGATTCCTCAGTCACATCGACTCCACATCGACCATTTTTTTGTGCAATTCATTTAATAAAGAAATTTGCCGTTCTGTTTGGTGTCGATCTCGTTGGCGTGACTGTGTTAACACGCTGTCAAACTTCCCCAGTGCTTCTCATACATAATATACCATTATGAAACTGGCGAACAGTTCATGGTTTGTTTTAAGAGCTTACTCACAGACAGGAAACATGTTCAAGCAATCGATGACCCTGCACCTAAAACGTGGTTTTGGTTATCAATGTTATGTTATGAATATACTTTGTCCTGTACTATTTATCATCTAGTGCATGACTTGCATAATAGTATATCTTTTTTGTTCTAATCAAGGTACGCGTTCGATTCCCTGTCACAGCACTAACGTCCTTTGAAAAGACATTAATCTACATTTGGCACACTCTACCCAGGTGAGGTACATGGGTACCCAGCCCGACATTATTTCTTAAAATGCTCGAGCGCTGTAATAGCAACTGTGATAAAGCCAGGGTACTAATGGAGAACCAGGAGTGACAATGCTCCCCCCCCCCCCCCACTCCGAGAACGGACGGACCCTATGCGTGTTACCAAAATGTCCGGTAAAGGGGTACTTTTCGTGCGACAAAGTCCGGCCCGAGAATTGTAAAAAAAAAAGGGGTGTATTAACTTTTCACCCGGAGATTTCTTTAAAAAGGGGGTGTTTTTTCTTTTTTTCTCTCATCTCTTTGGACTCCTGAGAAATTATTCCGAAGTTAGGGGGGTACATTGAGCATTTTTAATGATTTAGGGGGGTCTCCAAGGCAGGAAAAGCCCGCGAAAATCCCGCGAAAGGGGGGTTCGGAAATGTTGGCAGTCCTCAGATAGGGGGTGCTTTCAAAAAGAGGAAACAAGCATATGCGCACCCTAAATAACACTGAGTGGGGGGGGGGGGCAATGTGCCAGATATGGGCCCTATACAAGACTCCATTATTAATGTTATAATTATGAGTTACATTCCATTGGATTTGAGCCTTTTGAGGGATGTTTGTATACGTCATTGATTATAGCATCACTCTTGAAACTCTATATAAAGAAGCTGCGGTATTGCTCTTGGACTGGAAAATTACAATCCTCAAATACAAAGGCCTTCAGATAAAATGTAACCAAACAAAGGCCCACAGGAACTTACTTACAAAGTTCTCCTGCTTTTCCAATCATGACCGGTATAACAATGCCGATTATTCAATCAATCAATTAATGAATACGTGACTATTTGTGATGGTACAAAGTACGAATCAGCAAGTTACGTACATTGTAAGAGCAGAGGAAGCTGAATAAATTATGTTGTATAAATCTAGATTTGCATAGAATGAGGAAACAGATTGCGTTTATGTAATATATTGATACCAGGAAGTTTAGTCATTAATGTTATAGTGAGCTTAAAAGTAATGTGCCGCGATGATTAAGGTCATTTAGTAAGCCGGGGTGACAATAATCCGATTCGGAATTAGAGTAATGTGAGGCGGAACCACGTCCTCCCCCAGTGAGATATTGAAGAAAACTGATATCAATACCATGGTCCTGATTCACAAAACTGTGATCAATAATCAAACATTTTGAATCAAACAAAAGAATGCATGATTAACTGGAACATTAATAAGAAATCTTTATTCCGTGACCCAAAACCGCTTTGGGTCACGGAATAAAGATTTCTTATTAATGTTCCAGTTCCAGTATAGCTGAAATTTATTAATGAACAAATATTTTTCGATTGTTTCTAAACATGGTAATCTATTTTATCAGGCATTGGCAGCACAATGCACCATTATTTGATTATTTATGGGATATGGGTCAATATATAGTCATCACAGGAAGCATAGTTAGGACAAAATGAGTTGGTTGCGGTGACCGACCAGAATGAGTTGACTGAATTTCAAGAAACATCACTGGTATGTAAAACTTAGCTTTGTAAGAGGTGGCATGGCTCACGTGCATCTTAAGCAAAAATTCGATGGCAAACTTTCACTTAAATTGTTTTATGATGTGACAGAGGATGTTTTTTTAGCACACACACCTGCAAGGATTTTTTGAATGAATGTGTTTGAAGACGAATATTGATGAAAGAATACAAGTATCTGGGTTTTCTGCGTATGCAACAGAAAACTTAAATGTTCTACTTTTCCATCAAATACTGGCCTTAAAATGTATATATTTGAAAATCATTCCAGAAGTGTGACCTCCTCTTTCACATTTAATGAAATCTAAGTAAATTTTGCCATCAAATATTTGAGACTCTCAACACTTTAGAGGGACTTTTAATCCATTGTCAGAAAGTTTCATATGTGCTCTCTTACGGTAAAAGTTGAATTAGTTCGAGCTTATCGCACACCGTTATATATTGCTAATCTTTGGAGTTTGTATAAAAAGAGCAGTATAAAGAAACTCACGGTAGCCTATAATGATGCTATGAGAATGCTCTTCCGAATACCCAGGCACTCTAGCGCAATTAAAATGTTTGCAGATGTGAATATACCTGCATGTCAAGCTGTTGTAAGAAATCTAATTTTCAAGTTTAATCAGAGAATTGACACTTCAGAAAATATGATTGTTAAAATGTTGGTTAACCCATTGCAAAGGAGTACAATATACACCTCAGACCTGTGAACGTTCTGGTTCTGTAGCTTGTTGTCACAGTCGGCAGAGGTTGGTTAAAATAGTTTAGATTTGTTTCTTGTATATCCATATGTGTTCCCCTCTCATCCTTGTTCATTGTTTATATCTACATTTAAATATGTTATATGGACATCTGCTCTTGCAGTTGAGTCTAGAATAAAGTCTTGAATGGAATTGAATAATCATGATAATGCGGCAGTCACATCGCCAAGCTGCCCGCTTTCTTATTGTAATTGTTATGTATATTTTTGTTCGGTCTGTTCTTCTTCTTTAAATGATCACAACTTGATTTCCACTTGCGCTCCCGTAACACATATGTTTGTAATTAATTGCAAAATGACAATGGCCAATTGAGATCATCGATGCATGAACAAATTGTTCAATTGGCTGACTACATGTATTAACCAATCGAATCGTCGTTGAATTTACAATTTATTGCGAACCGTAAATTTATGTTACAAAGCCCTGATTTTCTAAAATGCACGCTTTTGACAAGTCATTTCAATTCTGTGAGCTTTTATCTTTCATATACGTATCTTTTTCAAAATAAAGTAGTTGAGTTGAAGTTACTCGTCTCACCTACTTTCCCAGTATAGCTTCCTGGGTGAGCTGCCAAAGGGATTGATTACCCAACCAAGTACCAAGTATTGAAAATATTTATTTCTTTGGTCTTTGAAAAAAGGAAATAGGG